GCGCTGAGCCTAATGCTATCGGTCCTGGAGGCGGTCCTGCTGGGGGTGCTACTGGTGCCGCTGGAGGTACTGGAGCTGGAGGTGCTGCTGGCAATGGTGCTGCTGCTGGGGGTACTGGTGCTGTCCCTGCTATGTCTAGAGTTGCCGCGCGGCCTCGGCCGTACTTCGTTCCACTCCTTCAGCAGGTTCTTGGTCTCCCGCCTTTTACTAGTCCTCCTCCTCCCTTAGAGTGTCCACAGCCTGTCCCGTCATAGTTACAGTTACAGCCGGCCTCCCCACTGCCTGCTCCTTCTCCCTACACTGGTCCTAATGGAGGTCTTGCCGAGCGTCGTGAGCCTGTGTCTCGCCCTGCGTTGCCTGTCCGTGCTGCTCGCACTAGTGGTCGTGGTTTGCGTCAGCGTCCTCCTCCTGTCCCTAGCACGCACCGGATATCTCTGCGTCCATCCACTGCTCCTCTGCGTGCCCCTTTGCCTTCTCCTCCTGAGTCCTCTCTTCCTGCTCTTGCCGACCCGGAGTCAGACTCTCTTCGTGCTGCCAGTCCTACTGTCACGTGTCTCCTTGCTACTGTCGTCACTGACCCTTCCTTTGAGTCCACTGCTGCGTCTGCCCTAGTTGCTGAGCTCGTCGACTTTGCTGCTCGCTGTCGTCTAGACTACGTTGCTAGTCTTGTCGTTGAGTCTGAGTCTGTCTGTCCTCCGTCCGTCGGGGGTGAGTGTGCCCTTGGCACGGACGTCCTTGAGGACACGCAGGAGGAGTTCCAGTGTTTGGCTGCTGCTTCACCTCATCTTGTGTCCGTACTGCTTACCCCTGAGGGAGACCCGGATGCACTTGACATCCCGACTCCGCGCTCTTACGCGGAGGCGATAGAGGGTCCCTACTCCTCTCAGTGGCAGGCATCTATGGACACAGAGATGGCTTTCTGGAAGTCCACAGGCACCCACGTTGACGAGGCTCCTCCGCCCGGGTCGAACATCGTCATTGGCACGTGGATTTTCAGGGTGAAGTGGCCGCCGGGTTCTTCGCCTATCTTCAAGGCGCGCTGCGTGGCTCGTGGCTTCAGTCAGCGGCAGGGAGCTGACTACTTTCAGACCTTCTCTCCCACCCTGAAGATGACCACTCTCTGGGTATTGCTGCACATAGCTGCTCATCGCGACTACGAGCTGCACTCTCTTGACTTCAGCACTGCTTTCTTGCAGGGCAGCCTGCACGAGGAGATCTGGCTGCGTCGTCTACCTGGCTTGACTGGGTCTTTTCCTCTTGGCACCCAGTGGAGCCTCAGACGGCCAGTCTACGGTCTCCGCCAAGCACCGTGTGAGTGGCACGACACACTGAGGACTACACTTGCGGCTCTTGGGTTTGCTCCCTCTACTGCCGGCCCGTCGCTGTTTCTGCGCACCGACACTTCTTTGCCGTCGTTCTACATCCTCGTGTACGTCGACGACTTGGTCTTTGCCACACCTGACACTACTGGACTCGCCCACAGCTACCTTGGCTTGCAGATCACCTGGGACAGAGCACGCCGCACCATTACCCTGACTGAGTCACACATGGTGCAGCAGGTCCTTCAGCGCTTCGGCTTCACGTACTCCTCGCCTCAGGCCACTCCTCTGCCTACTCGCCACTCGCTCTCAGCTCTGCCTTCGGATGAGTCCGTAGAGTCGAGTGGCCCGTACCCAGAGCTTGTTGGCTGCCTCATGTACCTGATGACCTGCACACGACCTGACCTTGCATACCCTCTTAGCATTCTCGCACGCTATGTTGCTCCTGGGAGACACAGACCGGAGCACATGGCTGCAGCAAAGAGGGTGTTGCGCTACTTGTGCAGTACGTCGGGCATGGGGCTAGTGCTTGGAGGGCAGAGTCCAGTGGTCCTCACTGGGCACGCAGACGCCTCTTGGGCTGACGACCAGGCTACGCAGCGGTCGTCACAGGGTTACACCTTCAGCCTTGGTTCCGGCTCTATCTCGTGGTGGGCTACTCGCTCGTCTTCTGTTCTCGGCTCCAGTTGTGAGGCTGAGATCTACGCAGGAGCCATGGCTGCACAGGAGCTTCGCTGGCTCACCTACCTGCTGACTGACCTCGGAGAGCCGCCTCGTTCTCCTCTAGTGCTGTACGTAGACAACAAGGCCATGTTGGCCTTGTGCCGGGAGCAGAGACTGGAGCACAGAACGAAGCACATTGCTCTTCGCTACTTCCTTGCTCGTAAGCTACAACGGCATGGTCAGCTGCGTCTTGCGTACGTGGCCTCTGAGGCCAACACTGTTGATATCTTCACCAAGGCGCTTGCGCCTTGTGATCATCAGCGCTTCTGTACTCAGCTGGGTCTTGTGCCTGCCTTGCCTCACTTGCTCACCTGTTGACCTTGCTTGTACTGTTACATATATATATATATATATATACACCTGCTCTTGCTTGTCTAGCCTTTTATATATATATGTAATCCTGCATGTGAGCTGGCCTTTTGGCCTTGAACTTGTGCTCGGAATGTGTGGTGACTTTGTGATCCACCCTGAGCTTGCTTTGCTTTGCTTTGCTTGACTGGTCTTGTGACCCCTTGTTCTCCCCCACTTTGCCTATGGGGGTGTGTCAGAACATTATAGCTTATACTTTTGTGTAGGCTGTAGTGGGGTAGCCCATAAGGGGTACAACCCAATTAGGGTTAGTACTTGTACCCAACTGTTCATAGTTCAATCATTCCCGTTCAATTTTCACACAACACTCCCCGTTATTTCTGAGGTGAGCCACGTGGGGTTAATTTTAGGATCCCGCAGAGGTCGGCGCAGTGCTGGAAATTCTGACGTGGTTGTTTCTTTGTCAGGAAATCGACTGCCATGTCACCAGTTGGGCAGTACGTGACTTTGATCTTGCCCTTCTCAATTTTGTCCTTGACGAAGAAGTAGCGTAGTGCGAGGTGTTTCGTGCGGTTCAGCTGGGCTCGTTCGTGATCTTGATTGCGCTCTGATTGTCGCAGGGTAACGTGAAGTGCCCGTTCATCGTTACTTTAGCTTCATGCAAGAGCTCCATCAGGTACAGTCATTCACGAACAGCTGTACTAGCGGCGATGAACTCAGTTTCGGCTGACGAAAGAGTGATGAGCTCGTGCTTCTGGGAGTGCCAGGAGATGCGTCCAGCAGGTTGGAGTTGAAAAATGAATCTTGTGCGGGAGCGTCTATTGTCGATGTCTTTTGCATGGTCCGCGTCTACGTGACCATGAAGTTGCAGGGTAGTAATAAGGTTGGCTTCGTAGGTGAGTCCAACGTCAAGTACATTATAGCTTATACTTGTACCCAACTATTCATAGTTCAATCATTCTCGTTCAATTCTCACATGCCCTCCAAAAGGGGTATATATTTTTCTCCTGAGCTTCTCGTAATTGCCGAGACAGATAATTTGTGATATTCCAATAATTAAAAATTGCGTAAATATCTGACCGAAGGTATCGGACACGAGCGCAAAGCAAGGCGGTGTCAAAACCACTGCCGAAAGGAATCGGAATCCCGAAACCAAGGCGGTCTGTCATTTCCTCCAGCCTTGCATTGGTAGTAACACTGTGCTTGAATGCTAATTTCTCCCAGCCCATGAAAAAATGCCAACCTAAAGTAGTTCAGGCTTTTAAGCAGCGGTTCAAAGTGGTGGAGGATTCAAACCTCTCGTGAATGTAGAATGTCGTACTCAACCGTATTTCCTGAACATATTTCAAATTTTGGGGTCTCCGCTCAACAAGGTGCACAATACTCTTTGAGTCAGGTCACGGAGAAAGCTTTGCTGTAGGGTTTGCAAAGCTGCGGTGTGATAAAGACCTGTGCACTGGCCTACACGTCAGCGAAAGCGGTCCTCCTTGCAATATCATGGGCCACTTGAAATTGCATGTCAGAACAGGCAGAGCTGACCCAAATGTATTATTTCCACTTACGAGACAGAGGAGTTTATAGGCAAAAACACTGTTGTTAATGAACATTTATTTGATGGAAAAAAAATATACGATCATAACGTCGCGAATTGCAACACTTACGGCGTGTTGTAATTGCCGGTGCATTGCATCGGCTCGGGACATTCGGAAGGCTCCAGGCAGGCGGGAGGCCAAAACACAAGCACTGATTCAGGAAAGAAAAGTTTCAAAATAGTGACTGCTTGCTAGTTCATTCACTCCTCATTTCTTCACATTGTATAGAGCAGGTTCCCTAGTGGGAACGCTTCTTAGGGCCCACCACTGAAATCGATATTTTTTTTTTCCTAACCAGAGCGCGAGTCGCCCCTGCCCAAGGCGCGCCCCGTGGGCCGCCCTCTCGTCGCGTCCCCTGCCCTTAGCGGCCTGTCGCGCCCTCCTAGTGGCCCCTCGCGCCACCCTTAGCGGCCCCGTTGCCACCCCTAGCGGCCCCGTCGCCACCCTATACGGCCCCGTCGCCGTCCTTTGCGGCCCCGTCGCCGCCCTTCTAGGCCCCTCGCGGCCCCTTCGCGGCCCCGTCGCCGCCCCTAGCGGCCCCGTCGCCGCCCTTTGCGGCCCCGTCGCCGCCCTTCTAGGCCCCTCGCGGCCCCTTCGCGGCCCCGTCCCCGCCCCTAACGGCCCCGTCGCCGCCCTTCAAGGCCCCTTGCGGCCTCTTCTCGGCCCCGTCGCCCCCGTTCGTGGCCCCATCGCCGCCCTTAGCGGCCCCGTCGCCGCCCCCTTTCGGCCCCTCCCCGGCCCCTTCATCGCCGAGCCGCCGAGCCGCCAAGAAGTCGAATCGCCGAGCCGCCAAGCCGCAGAACCGCCGAGCCGCCAAGCCGCCGAGCCGCCGAACCGCCGGGTCGCCGAGCCGCCAAGCAGCCGAGCCTCCAAGCCGCCGAGCCGCCGAGGCCGCCGTCGAGCCGCCACTACCAAGCCGCTGCTGTCGAGCCGCCGTCAATCCGCTACTGCCACTGCCGAGCCGCTGCTACCGCGGTTGCAGCCCTATTCCTACCGGCGCGCCCCGGCCCTACCTACCCAAACTGGTGAGAGCACTCCCTGCTAGACCACTGCTGTCATGGCTACCCCCAGTGTCCTTACCTTTGATGGTGAGGGTCGTGCTGTTGACTTCGAGGTCTGGGTCGATGACCTACAGCTCTTCCTACAGTGCGATAGGGCAGACAGACTCTCCCTCTTCGATCTCACCTCTAGTGCCTCTCCTGCCCCGCTTGCTGATGCTGACAGCACTGTTCGCTCACAGTGGGCCACCCGCAATGCTGGTGCCCGTCTTGCTGTGCGACGCCACTTACCGACCGCTGAGCGTGCGCACTGTAGTCAGTACAAGAGTGCTAAGACCTTGTACAACGCTATAGTTGCACGCTACTCTTCCCTTGCCACTCCTGCTCTTAGCCGCCTCATGCTGCCTACTTGTTTCCTGACCTCGCCGCCTTTCCCACTGTCGCTGACCTCGTTACGCACCTCCGCACTAGTGACACTTGCTACCGCGTTGCGCTTCCTGCTGAGTTTCGCGCCAAGAACCCCCCCCCCATGTACATCATCCTCTACTACATAGTCACCCGGCTCCCTGACTCCCTTCGCTCGGTCAGGGACCACTTCCTCTCTGTTTGCCCCACCACACTCACTGTTGACCTCCTCGAGGAGCGCCTCCTGGCAGCTGAGAAGAGTATAGTTGCTGTAGGAGCCTCTCGAGGTGACCCTCGTGCCTCTGTCTTTGAGGGGTGCTCCCCCTCCCCCCTTTTGCCCTCTGTTGCCTCTGTTGCTGCCGTCGACTTCGTTGGCACCGAGTCGGTCGGCGCTGCGTCTGCCCCTAGCGGGCGACGCCGCACCGGCAAGGGCAAGGGGGGCAAGGGCACTGGAGGGGCTGGCGGGGGTGATGGAGGTGGCGGTAGAGGAGTCGGAGGGAGTGGGGGTGGTGGTGGGAATGGTGGCGGGGGTGGGGGCTTCGGTGGCGGCAGTGGCGGCGGAGGCGGCGGCGGCGGTGGCGGTGGGAGCAGAGAAGGAGGCGGTGGCGGCGGTGGTGGAGGTGGCGGCGGAGGAGGTGGAACTAGTTGGGGTGGCTCTGCGCAGCGGGGCGGCTTAGGTGGTGGTCAGCGCCAGCAGCAGCAGCACACTCGTGAGACCCCGTTCCCCCTAGCAGCTTTGTGAGTGGTACGCTGGGCGTCAGCGAGGTGGGGGTACTGGTCCCTGTACCCACGTCCTTCGTACCGGCGACCGCGCTGGTGAGCAGTGCGGGGGCTCGCACTCCACCCAGCGCTGCTTCGGCCGCCTGACGGACGCTTGGCGTCACCAGTTCCCTGACGCCACTGAGATCCCTCGCTGGGGAGAGCTGTCTAGGGCGGGGGTTGCTATCTTTGATCTTGACTATGATGCTATTCTTGCTGCCATGTATGCTGTGTCCACTAGTGATGAGGGTGACTGTTACCTGTGCATTCCGCCTGACCCGGGCATTGAGGCTGCTGCTCTAGGTGCTGGTGAGGCTGCTGCTCTAGGTGCTAGTGCGTCTTCTGCCCCAGGTGCTGGTGAGTCTGCGCTCTCAGGTACCACGTCGGCTCAGGCCTTACACACCTTCACCCTTGACTCGGATGCTTCCCGCTCCTTCTTTCGAGACCGCACCACGCTTACGCCGCTTAGTCGGCTCGTTGCGGTCTCCCTGGCGGACCCCTCTAGGGGTCCTGTCCTTGCTCGCTTCTCCACTGTCTTACCGTGTCTAGCAGCCCCCTCTGGCACCCTCTCAGGTCTCTACCTCCCCTCGTTCTCTACAAACTTGGTGAGTGGTGCTAATCTACAGGTTGGGGGGGTTGACCAGTTCACTCCTGCGAGTCAGCGGGTGACCCACTGTACGTGTGCTCGGACGGGTCGACACTTTGCCACGTTTACCCGTCGGCCAGGGTCGAGCCTGTACACACTGACTACAAAGTCTCCTCCGGTTGCTGAGTCTGGTCAGGTAGCTGCGTCAAGTCAGGTGTTTGCAGCAGCGTCCAGGTCTGGTTCTGAGTGTGCTTCTTGCTCGTGTCGTCTCCTGTCCCACCAGACTCTCCTCTGGCACCATCGCCTTGGTCACCCCTCCCTGCCTCGTCTCCGAGGCATGGCCTCCCGTTACCTTGTCTCTGGTCGTGCACAGGGCATCCGCCAGACGTTCACGCTTCCGGCCTCTCCACAGCAAAATGGGATTGCTGAGCGCCGCATTGGCATGGTCATGGACGTCGCTCGTACGTCCATGATCCATGCGGCTGCTCCCCATTTTCTGTGGCCGTTTGCGGTTCGGTACGCAACGCATCTGATCAACCTTCAGCCCTGGGTCTCCTTGCCGGAGACCTTCCCCACCTTGCCGTGGACGGGGAAGGTTGGCGAAGCGTCTGCATTTCGTGTCTGGGGATCTCGGGCGTTTGTCCATGACTTGTCTGCGGACAAGCTGTCCCCCCGTGCGGTTCCTTGCGTCTTCCTTGGCTTCCCCCCTGACGCGCCAGGTTGGCAGTTTTACCACCCCACCTCGCCGCGTGTTCTGTCCTCCCAGGACGTCACATTTGACGAGTCGGTTCCTTACTACCGTCATTTCCCCTACCGCACTGCACCCCTCCCCCCGCCACCGCTCTTCCTTAGGCTAGGTCCCCACCCGGTAGACCCCCTCCCCCCTCAGGGTCCGACCCCGTCAGGTGTGTCCCACGTAGACACGGTCCAGCCTGTCGAGGAAGCTCTTGACTCTCGTACTGCTAGGGGTGCTGAGTCTGGGGGTGCTTGGCCTTGGGGTGCGGAGCCTGGGGGTGCTGAGCTTGGGGGTGCGGAGCCTGGGGGTACGGAGCTTGGGGGTGCTGCGCCTGGAGGTGCGGAACCTGGGGGTGCTGGGTCTGCTCGTGTGGCCTCTAGCGGTGGTGGGTTTGGGGCCCCTTCGGGTGCTTCGTCGAGGCGGGAGCTACCCTCTCCACAGGAGCTGCGCGATTGGTTTGCCCGGCGCTGGAGTCGTGCTGCTGGAGCTGGAGGTGCTGCTGCTACTGCTGACCCGGGGGTCAGCACTGGAGTTACTGGGGCCACTGGTCCTGGAGGTGCTCGTACTGGCGGTACTGGAGCTGCTGGGCCTGGGGGTACTGCTGAGGCTGCTGGGGCTGACGGTCCTGCTGGAGTTGGTGCTGCTGGAGCTGGAGCTGCACGGGGTGTTGGCGCTGGAGGTGCTGCTAGCGCAGGTGCTTCTGAGGGTGCTGGAGTTGGCACTGCTGGAGCTGGCGGTGCTGCTGGCGTTGGTGCTGCCGCTGGGGGTACTTGTGCTGTCCCTGCTGGTTCTGGAGGCGCTGCGCGGCCGCGGCCGTACTTCGTTCCGCTCCTTGCGCAAGTTCTTGGTCTCACGCCTTGTATTGGTCCTGCTCCTCCCTTAGAGTGTCCACAACCTGTCCAGTCGCAGTCACACTTACAGCCCGCCTCCCCCCTGCCTGCTCCTTCTCCCTACACTGGTCCTACAGGAGGTCTTGCTGAGCGTCGTGAGCCTGCGTCTCGTCCTGCGTCGCCTGTTCGTGCTGCTCGCACTAGTAGTCGTGCTCCGCGTCCGCGTCTGTGAGGATCTAGGATCGAGCTCAGAAAAGAGAATGAGAATTGAGTCGAATTGAATGATCACCTGGGTACAACACGAGGCTTTATATAGGCTCGACACAAGGCCCCGTAACCAGGTGTTACGCGAAGGTTCCGCGAGTTGCGTAGCGTCCCGAACAGATCCTTACCGAATTCGGTAGAAGGCAATTCAGTGGCAACCGAAAAGGCCAGAATTCGGTGCACGTAACCTAGCTCGGTGCTATAACTATAATAATATATAAGAAAGCACCTAGCCTAGGAGATCAAGCAATTCATGCATGCATATGATTATCCTATGCTAGAAATAGCATGATAAAGTAAAGGCAAACAAGCGTAGCTGGCATAAGCCGTCGTACTCTCACACGTCCCCCCCTCAAAGCTGGGTGGCGTGAGAAACACCCTGCTTGACAAGATAGTCCTTGAGAGCACGGCGTGCGTTGCCCATATCAGCTTCTGCAACCCAACTGTCCTCAGTGGGGTTGTATCCCTTCCAGCGTATCAGGAACTTGAGGGTCTTGCCGCCGCGGCGCCGATGAGAGAGAACGCGCTCTATCTCGTACTCGGGTTCATCCTGCACAAGAACAGGTGGAGGTGGCGGTAGCTGCCGTCCCTGGAACTGCTGATTGGGGTCCTTGTAGGGTTTCAGTAGCTGCACATGGAAAGCATTGTGAAGCTTCCAAGTAGTAGGTAAGCGCAAGCGGAATGTAACTGGTGTCACCTGTGCCTCTACGAGAAAAGGACCACAGAAGCGAGGCCGGAGTTTGGGTGGGAGGTGAGACAGGTTCAAGTTGCGCGTGTCAAGAAGCACCTGATCTCCGACTGCTACTGAGTGATCACGTTGCTAACGATCGGCATACTGCTTCTAGGAGGTCTGCATCGTGGTGAGTCGTCGCTGAGTCTTTTCCCATAGCTGCTGCATGGTGGTGACAAAGTCATGTGCGGCTTGGACTTGTGCCGGTGTGGTTGGCTGCTGTGGTGTGAGTGGTTCTCGTCCGTAACACAGGAAGAAAGGAGTTTTCCCTGTGGCCGCATGTGATGCGTTGTTGTAAGCGAACTCTAGGGTCGGTAACTGTGTGCCCCAGTGGCTGACGTCGTCCTTGCAAGCTGTGCGCAGTAACTGTTCAATCACTTGATTGAGTCGCTCGGTCTGTCCGTCAGTCTGTGGGTGGTATGCTGAGGACATCGCAAGTTTGGTCCCCAATAATCCCATGAGCTCCTTCCAGAACTTACTCGTGAATTTGGGGTCTCTGTCTGAGATGAGTGTAGCAGGGATGCCGTGGATGGTGATGATGCGGTCGAAGAAGAGGCGAGCAGTTGCTTCAGCTGTAGCTGTGGCGTTGGTCGGTATGAAGTGACCCATTTTGGAGAACTTATCGATGACTACGAGGATGGAATCGTGCCCCGTGAGGTCGAAGGAAGTCCTGTGATAAAGTCGAGGCTAACGACCTGCCATGGCTGCTCCGGTACAGGTAGAGGCTGAAGTAACCCTGCTTTTTTCTGCTTGTTGCTCTTCATCCGCTGGCACGTGTCGCAAGAGGTGACGAACTGCTGCACATCTGCTGCCATCCCGAGCCAGTAGTAATACTTCGCTATCCTTGCTAACGTTTTGTTGCTCCCAAAATGTCCCGCGTATGGTACGTCGTGAAACTCCTCCAATAGGATCTGCCATAGCGGGGCATAATTCGGTACCCAAATCTTTCCTGAACCCTTCCTTACAGCTCAGTCTTTCTCCCACTGTAACAGCTTCTTGGTCTGTGCTGTAGCGATCTCTACGTCCACGGAGTACCCATGTTGGAATAGACTCTTGAGCAGAGGGTTCATCCCGTCGAGCTGGATGCCTGCTACATGTCCGGGGCGGCTCAATGCGTCTGCTTTGTTGTGTAGCCTGGGCTTGTAGACGATGTTGTAGTGGAAGTGAGTTTCCAGGAAGTCCACCCACCGCACCTGTCATCGTGAGAGCGTCGGCTGCGACTTCAGGTATTTGAGACTGCAGTGGTCAGTATAGACTGGAGTCTTGGCTCCCTCTAGGTAACACCTCCACGCATTGAAGGCTATGACTATCGCTAAGGCTTCCTTGTCGTGACTCGGGTAGTTTAGTTCTGCTCCGTGTAGTTTCTTACTGAGGTAGGCGATAGGCTGTAAACCGCATCCGTGATCCTGCATCAGTACTGCTCCGACTGCTTGGTCACTAGCGTCTGCTTCCACCACGTAGTCCTTGTCTCGATCCGGCAAGATGAGTACTGGCGCAGTAGTCAGTGCTGTCTGTAGCTCCTCCATGGCTTGCTGATGAGGGGTATCCCATTTGTAGGGCGTATCCTTTTTCAGTAGGTCGGTCAGTGGCGCTGCTATCTTAGCGTACTACGGCACGAACCTGTTGTAGTAGTTGGCGAAGCCTAGGAACTGCTGCAACTCCTTCACATTCTCCGGTAATTTCCACTTCTTGACGGCTTCGATTTTCCGCGGGTCCACGTGTACGCCCTCAGCACTCACCATGTGCCCGAGAAACTGCACCTTCTTCAGGGCGAAGTCGCTCTTCGACAGCTTCACGTAGAACTTGTTTTTCCGCAGGATCTCGAACACCTTCCGTAGATGCTCCACGTGCTCCTTCATGTTCTTGGAGTAAATGAGAATGTGAAAATGAACGAGAATGAATGAACTATGAAAGAGTTGGGTACAAGTACTAACCCTAATTGGGTTGTACCCCTTATGGGCTACCCCACTATAGCCTACACAATATGCATGAGCTATGATGTTCTGACACACCCCCATAGGCAAAGTGGGGGAGAACAAGGGGTCACAAGACCAGTCAAGCAAAGCAAAGCAAGCTCAGGGTGGATCACAAAGTCACCACACATTCCGAGCACAAGTTCAAGGCCACAAGGCCAACTCACATGCAGGAGTACATATATATATCAGAGGCTAGACAAGCAAGAGCAGGTGTATATATATATATATGTAACAGTACAAACAAGGTCAAGAGGTAAGCAAGTGAGGCAAGGCAGGCACAAGACCAAGCTGAGTACAGAAGCGCTGATGATCACAAGGCGCAAGCGCCTTGGTGAAGATATCAGCAGTGTTGGCCTCAGAGGCCACGTACGCAAGACGCAACCGACCACGCTGCTGCAGCTCACAAGCAAGAAAGTGGCGGAGAGCAAAGTGCTTCGTTCTTTGCTCCAGTCGCTGCTCCCGACACAAGGCCAGCATGGCCTTGTTGTCTACGTAAAGCACTAGAGGAGAAAGAGGCGGCTCTCCGAGGTCAGTCAGCAGGTAGGTGAGCCAGCGAAGCTCCTGTGCAGCCATGGCTCCTGCGTAGATCTCAGCCTCACAACTGGAGCCGAGAACAGAAGACGAGCGAGTAGCCTGCCACGAAACAGAGCCGGAACCAAGGCTGAAGGTGTAACCCTGTGACGACCGCTGCGTAGCCTGGTCGTCAGCCCAAGAAGCGTCTACGTGCCCAGTGAGGACCACTGGACTCCGCCCTCCAAGCACTAGCCCCAAGCCCGACGTACTGCACAAGTAGCGCAACACCCTCTTCGCTGCAGCCATGTGCTCTGGTCGGTGTCTCCCAGGAGCAACATAGCGTGCGAGAATGCTAAGAGGGTATGCAAGGTCAGGTCGTGTGCAGGTCATCAGGTACATGAGGCAGCCAACAAGCTCTGGGTACGGGCCACTTGACTCTACGGACTCATCCAAAGGCAGAGCTGAGAGCGAGTGGCGAGTAGACAGAGGAGTGGCCTGAGGCGAGGAGTACGTGAAGCCGAAGCGCTGAAGGACCTGCTGCACCATGTGTGACTGAGTCAGGGTGATGGTGCGGCGTGCTCTGTCCCGGGTGATCTGCAAGCCAAGGTAGCTACGCAGTTCGCCCACGTCTGTGCACGTGTGTCTGTTCTGCACCTCGGACTTCACGTGGGCGAGTCCAGCAGTGTCAGCTGTGGCAAAGACTAAGTCGTCGACGTACACGAGGATGTAGAACGGCGGCAGAGAAGTGTCGGTGCGCAGAAACAGCGACGGGTCGGCAGTAGAGGGAGCAAACCCAAGCAGCGGAGTCGGGATGTCAAGTGCATCCGGGTCTCCCTCGAGGGTAAGTAGTACGGACACGAGATGAGGTGAA